CTCTCTCTCTCATACACACACACAAATTAAATTAAAAATTAAGAAAAAAAACAGTGGCAGTGACAGCCATATATATATTATACAATATATATAGTACTCAGTACTCTGTTTGCTTTGAATTATTTTTCATAATACCTTTCTTTACTCTTTGAATGTCTCATCATAAAGCAGTCTTGAAAAGAAAGGAAGGCAGCTAGCATGAGTGAAACTATATATATAATGTTGTATATAAAACCCTACTGCCTCAGTCTCCCTCTCTCACTATGTGCGCGCGTGTGCTTAACTTGTGTGTGTGTGTGTGTGTGTGTTTCATTTTTCTTTGCTGTCAAACCTTTTTGCAATCGTGTTACTCAATAAAAACAAACACCAAACCATCGTCATCGTCGTCACATTAACGCACCACCTTTCATGTTTTTGCAATTTAATCACCAAATTTACAATTTTGTAAATTAATACACTTCTTTTACCATTTTCGTAAAATCGATACATGAATGACGGTTTCCTTTAACAAAAATCTGACATGACATTGACGTGGCTCAGTGCCATGTCCGATTTTCGTTAACGGAACCCTCATTCATGTATCTATTTGTGAAAATGGTAAAGGTAGTGTATTAATTTGCAAAATTGTAAATGTGGTGATTAAATTGTAAAAACATGAAAGATGGTGCATTAATATGCATCTATATTTTTATTTTATTTTTATGTGAATTGTCGGATTGCTGTTAAAAAAGTCTAATTATTTTTCTATAAGTGCACATAAGATATATTTGCTTAGGAACTGATTAAAATTCTCTAGTTCTCTGCCTTCAGTCCCAAGGTTTTTCAGCAAAAGTATGTGCAAAGTAATAATAGCTGGCCATGCGCTCTCCTTGTCTCTTATACCCACATGTTTAGCCTGCCTTTATATTTTATATTGGGCTATATCATAGTTATTAAACCTGGCCCGAAATCGATCCGGGCAGGTCTCTGAATCAACGGTTCAATTACCGGGTCACCGGGTCAATTGCTGAACCGAATAATTAATTTTAAAATTTTTAAAATTATATATATACAGTATTTTTGATTTTGAGAAAATTTCTATTTTAGTCCAGTAACTTAGGCTGTTTCCCATTTTAGTCCACTAACTTAGGCCGATCCAAATTTGGTCTAAAAACTCCCAAAAGTTAGTTAAATCAGTCCAATTGGACTAAAATTGGACTGAAATTGACCAATCAATTTCGGCGACAGGGACCGAAATTGGACTGATTTAACTAACTTTTGGGAGTTTTTGGACCAAATTTGGATCGGCCTAAGTTAGTGGACTAAAATGGGAAACAACCTAAGTTACTGGACTAAAATTGCAATTTTTTCTTTTTTTGATATATACTGGGTATATACTGGGTATGTTGATGATGATATATACAGTACTTTTGATATATAAATATACATAAAAGTAACAAAAATATGTATACAAAATTTATACATTTAAGTGTTAATAATATTGAATCGCAC